GGCTCGTAGTCTAGATCCAAGTTCACACCTCCTGACACAAGTACCCCAGTCTTGTGCCGGGCGCTCTGCTTAGTTAAACACCCAAAGGTCCCCCGACCACCAAATTTATCATCTCCGAAGTCCCGCGGTACAGGCTACTTTCCTCCTGGGAGGTCATCATCACCACAATAAGTTCAGGGACGACTTGCATAGCCTAAGATTCCTACTCACACGCCAGGATGGAGCGTACACCAACGTCCAGCTTCTCATTACGCTCCACCATGGGTTGCTACCCCACTTACGCTCCCGAGTAGATCTATCTGCGGAACGTTGTGCCAACAATTCCTTACTGCTTTGTACTAGCCTCTCTCCAATCGAAAACAATGCATTGTGCGGCCGCACATCTAGCTCCGCAGTTTTTGCGTGGTTGGTCTGGTCGTTCAANTAGTTCTCACGCCGGAGAGTTTTGGGGCTTAGCTCTTAGTCCTCCACCGCCCAACGGGGGACTTTAGTATTTCTTTTAGTGCCGTACCAATAGGCATTAACCTTAGGTAAGCTTGTTCTTACTTTGGACTGTACTCTCCTCATCCTCTGGGAGAGATAGAGGGAGGGGGGGGCACATGGCCTCCATTTTTCAGGGGGGGTTCGGGTACGGGTTGGGGGTCGGGTCCATGTCTACTGCATCCTCGAATTATCCCCTCACTAAAGCTACTGTGGATTTTCAGTATACAGCTATCCTTACTNCTGTACTCTCCTCATCCTCTGGGAGAGATAGAGGGAGGGGGGGGCACATGGCCTCCATTTTTCAGGGGGGGTTCGGGTACGGGTTGGGGGTCGGGTCCATGTCTACTGCATCCTCGAATTATCCCCTCACTAAAGCTACTGTGGATTTTCAGTATACAGCTATCCTTACTCAACGCGTCTGTGTCCGGCAATCTCCAATACAAATCAACCTGTGAGTTTTCAGTATGCAGCTTTCATCACTCAATGCGTTTATGTGTCCGGCAGTCGCAAACGTCACTCAACCCGTTAGGTCTCAGTATGCAGCTATCCTCACTCAAAGCGTCTATGTGTCTGGCACTATCCAACATCACTCAACTGGTGGGGTTTCAGTATGTAGCTATCCCCACTCAGCGCGTCTGTGTGTCTGGCAAACTCAAAAACCAATGCATCTGTGAGGTTTCAGTATGCAGCTATCCCCACTCAACGCGTCTGTGTGTCTGGCAAACTCAAAAACCAATGCATCTGTGAGGTTTCAGTATGCAGCTATCCCCACTCAACGCGTCTGTGTGTCTGGCAAACTCAAAAACCAATGCATCTGTGAGGTTTCAGTATGCAGCTATCCCCACTCAACACGTCTATGTGTCTGGCAACCTCATACATTACTCAACCTGTGAGGTTCAGTTTGTGTCTATCCTCACTCAACGCGTCTATGTGTCTGGCACTCCAACATCACTCAACCCGTGGGGTTTCCGTATGCAGCTATCCCCACTCAACGCGTCTATGTGTTTGGCAAACTGAAAAATCAATCCATCTGTGAGGTTTCAGTATGCAGCTATCCTTACTCAATGCGTCTATGTGTCTGGCACTATCCATCATCACTCAACTGGTGAGGTTTCAGTATGCAGCTATCCCCACTCAACGCGTCTGTGTGTCTGGCAAACTCAAAAACCAATCCATCTGTGAGGTTTCAGTATGCAGCTATCCTCACTCAACACGTCTATATGGCTGGCAATCTCATACATTGCTCAACCTGTGAGGTTTCGGTAAACAGCAATCCTCACTCCACTCGTCCATGCGTCACGCGTCTTTGGTAGCGNCGTATGCAGCTATCCCCACTCAACGCGTCTATGTGTTTGGCAAACTGAAAAATCAATCCATCTGTGAGGTTTCAGTATGCAGCTATCCTCACTCAACACGTCTA